AGGGTCCAGTAGCAGACCACGAACCTGTATGGAAGACAGAGCCGTGACGCTTTGAAACACAGAACCATAGAGCTTCTACTTCTGCAGTGATTCGGGATTATTGCAAAGGTCTACTGCAACCTGAAATGAATAAAATGACAATGAATGAATGAATTGTGTCGAACACCCTTTCGGTATACCGCCTCATAAGGTTTAGTTCCCGTCTGCTGGCCCTATTAATTACTAAATAACTATTCTCACTGTTTATAACTTTTTCGAATCGCTCTGCAAGCTCTAGTTATGGTTACCACGTGGGAAGAAAGCAGAAGACTGCAGGCTGTACTATCGAATAAAAAAATAATTCTTCGCTAGCTAATAAGCGATAGCTTTATAAATAAGGCAGCTGATTGATGAAAGCATCATAACGGAGAGCAGCTTCTGATGGTGAATTTCACCGTGTCCAACTGAAGCGTACCCTGAACCTGTTGCGACGGGGACCATTATCCATGAGGTTATGAGTTTTCTTACGCTCCCCTCCCTTGTTGAAGTAGGTGTCGTTGCGAGTGACCTGACGTCGGTGCTGCTAAGACCATTTAAGACTGCCAATGCGTCAGATGAAACTGCGCTATTTCCGGCAGAAACACGTGTATCTGTGAATCGCTGTCGCGGATGTCAAGAAGTTCAAATGCAATCAAGTTTTTCGACCCGCAAAAAAGAAGCCGAATGCACACTGAAAGTAACGTGGGCCCAGAGGTTCGTTGTAGGCTGTGCTTCATCCATCGACGATGAATGATTAAACTAAGACTGAGGGAAAAGGGCAAGCAGAACTTATGAAGCCCACAGGAAAACAACGAATCGTTTCCTCGCTTCCTATTGCAGACACGTGCAAAAGGCCATCTGCCGGACGCTGAGTGTTTGAAACGGAACGCTGTCCGCCCGGAAGTGGCTTTTAAAAGCAGAACGTTGCACCCGAGGGGGGGGGGCAGTAGGACAGCGAGTTGCAGCCCTCCATGCACTTACTTTACAGGTAGCCGGTTCAAACCTGGAAAGAGCAGAAGCGTGGGTTTTTTCTTACTGTACCTGTCAACTTCCTTGAGCACTAGCTTGTATTCGCCCCACTGTGCCTGGTGCAACTGGCAGTGGTATGAGTTGCACTGATCTGTGAACCATAGGAACGTATGGTATTTCGGTGTGGTCACGTCAGGGCGTGCGAGGCGCACAGCTATGCTACCGTATAACATGGCCACAATTCGCGTTGACCCATCAGGGAGTTGACTAAAATTCAGCACAGGATGTAAAGAGCGAAATTAGGAGAAAAAACTGTTCGCAGAAGAACAGCCCTGACCTATGCCGCCGAACCGTGTTTCGCCTCAAGGCACATCCGACGACGGGTGAGCCGCAATTAAGACTCGCTGACCCTGCTGTGTTGGCTGTCGGTGACGTGCTGGCCGAACAGAATCCAGCCGACCACGGAGGATTCCGGTTTTGTGTGGTCGGAATATACTTCTGTGACTGCGGTCACCTGCATGGACGCTCCAATAACGTTTTAATGAAGCGAAACCGAAAAAAGCGCAGTCGTATGGTTTGTGTTGGTTTTGAGGCCGTTGACGCCCAAGCCGTGACTAATGCGCATCGTGCGCAAACGACCGCAGCAGGAGGTGGCGCGTGACCTCGTGGCGGGGGGGGGGCACCGTCTCCGCTGTCCCGCTGTCGGCCTCTGTCCGAGCGGCATGTGACTCCACACACACACTCTTTCCTGGCGTTGAGACGTTTCGCTGTTGACGGTCGCCTCAGGTCGTTCCGCGCCCCTCGCCCATAACATTTTCCCCCGACCGGCGGCACGTTACACACGCCGCCTTCAGCAGCGACTTTATTAATGACCGATTTCGATTCGA